ACCAGAATGTGCATTTAGCACTAGATCTGAACTTCCTTTACCTACATCAGATCTCCTCAAAATAATACATTTCAAACAAATAAGTATATAATCCATTTCATTGTAAAAAAAGTGTAAATATATCCACTTTAGAACTTAATAGAATGCTTTAAAGGTAAGAAACACAATGTACTACTAAGAAGAAATGCACCATTTCAAGATATAATCAAATTTTTAGAGATTATTCAAAACCTTTGTGACATATTCGATCATGATAATCACCACTAGCAACCATCATCACCCATTCTCACCTATCTATCATCACTTGAATGCCATGAGGTGACTATCATCGCTTGATCGTTATTGCCTGATTAACATCATCAAGCTGCATCACCCAACCGCTATCATCTAACCATTGATGCCCAATTATTATCACCTAGTTGCTATCATTTGACTATCATCCCTTTTAAATTCTCGAGTATTCTCCACCATATTCATTGAGTTCAAACTTGTACCATGTAATTTCATCTCCTCTAAATATTAAAGTAAAGAGTACAACAAATCATTATAATTAGGCATAGCTTCTTGATTTTTTTTTTTTGAATTTTTCCATGCAAAAAATTTGGTATCTCTTTCAACTATCATTTATCTATATGTGTTGAATCTCGTATATAAAATTAAAATATTTAACTAAAATAATTTTTACTTACACATATAGATAAAATAAATTAAAAATAATTCATATTAGACACAAACTTGTTGATTTATAAACCCAAAATAATGAAATCACGTGACCTGGCATAGTTGAAATAATTTTATTATTATATGCCATAGCTTAAAAAAGATGGTCTTTTAGTTAAGAAAGACATTGATATAATGTTGTAGACATGAACAATGGATGTCTATAATTAAAAAAAGGAGCTTTAAGATATTGGAATTATCTTTTAGTGATAATTGATGATCACTTTAGTTGTTATCTTAGAGGGTGAGAGACCAAAGATCAAATTAAGAACAAGAAGATAATCATAAGCCTTAGTGGTTGTCTATTATTGACATTAGTGTTATTGGCAGGCATTGAGATTGATTGTAATCTCAAACGACGGCCTTGTTGGTGATTACAAGCGTTGAGGTTGATATTAATGACCAACATCAATGACAGGTATTAAGTTGATGTCAACAATGACAATCAGTCCAGTTGGCAACGATGTGTGTACACATTTGTGTCAACATGATACATCATCCTTTTTAGCGATGACAGGCAATAAAGTTGATGTCAAATATATACGTCGACATTAGTGTTGATAGCGTGACTCAAATTAATAGATATCGACGGTGTGCATTAGCTTTATTCGTAATAAATAGCATGCATCCATATTTGTGTCGACAACATGCATCAAATTTATTGATACTAGTGCTCATCAAAGTATGTATTGATGGAATGCATCAGCCTTATTGGCCATACCGCACCACGATGTTGGTACTGAAATCATTCATCAAGCATATTGGTGATGGAGGACATAAGCTTTGTTGCAATCATTTACATCAATGTTAGTGTTGATGATGTGCATTAGTTTTATTGTCGATAGCATGCAACAATAATGACAATGGCTTACATCAATCTTGTTATAGATAATGTACATCGATATTAGTGGTGATGGCATGCATTGACTTTATTAATGATATTGTGTTTTGACTTTTGTTTCAATGTTATGCATCTACCTTGCTACTGATGGCATATATTGATATGTGTCAACTGCATGTATCAAACTTATTAGGAATAAAATATTTTGAGGTCGGTATTGATAACATGCATCAACATGATTTGGCAAAAAAGTGATGATAGTTAGATGATGGTAATAAGGCGACAATAGTTGGGCGAGCAATCACTAGTGATGCGTGATCATTAGCCTTGATCCTGAATCAAAACTCTAGGATTCTTCAATTTTTTTTCTAATGCAACAAACTTATTACTTGCATTAATTACACTTAAAATAAACATTTATTTAATATGTACTAATAATTTTCTTTATAATAATAAACTTTTTTTGTAGTGAAAATATTGTGGTTCATTACGCAAGGAGAAAATTCTATATCTAAAAATTATAAAATCAATCTAAATAATTTATAACTTATCGCACAATTCAAAAAAAATCATTTTGGATTTCATTTTTCCTTGAAAAAAATTTCTGTCAAGAAATTATATTAATATTTTGGTCAGAATCTTAAAGCCCTTAAATATACTCTAAGTTAAGTATAATAAATAAACAAAAAATATCACACAAATCTCAAAGCAGTTATAAGAACTTTGAGTCCCTCTCCATTTTTTAAGGAGCGAGCCTAAGAAGAGTTCAGAGTGGGCAATTATCCTCTAAAATTTTTCTTTTAATAAAATAATCATTTTAACTATTTTATCTCTATCAATAAATATATTTCTTCAAAATTATAGAAAAAAAAATTCTTTTACATTTCACTACTAAAATTATTCACACTTAAACCCAACTTTATCCGCTCTCAAACGAAAAGTTGTTCCACCCCTACACTTTATTATCACAAGATTCACAAATTTTTGTCTTTTACTTTTCATTGAACTTTGCCCTTCCATAGATATTCAACTTGCACTTAAAAAATTAATATGTAGCATAACTCAATAAAAATAAAAAAAA